TGCCTTTGATTGGTGAGTTTAAGCCATTAACATTCAGGGTTATTATTGAGACATGATTTGTATTCCCAGCCATTTTTGTTTATTTTTGGTATTTAATGTGACTTGGTTTCTCCTCTTATTATTTTTCCTATAGTATAATATTTCCCTCTGCTGATTTTCTCATTGTTTTTCATTTCCTCTTCATGGGATATTTTGCTGAGGATATTCTATAATGTAGGCTTTCTAGTTTTAAATTATTTTTACTTTTGTTTATCATGGAAGGTTTTTATTTCATCATCAAATCTAAAATTGAATTTTTCTGGATATGAGATTCTTGGTTGGCATCCATTCTCTTTCATAGCTTCGTATATGTTGTTCCATAATCTCCTGGCTTTGAGGGTCTAGGTTGAAAAATCTGCTGAGATATGAAAGGGTCTCACCCTATATGTTATCTGATTCTTCTCTCTTGTGGMTTTTAAGATTCTATCCTTATTCTGTATGCTAGGCATTTTCATTATAATGTGCTTTGGTGTAGATCTGTTGTAATTTTGTATATTTGGTRTCCTGTAAGCCTCTTGTATTTGGTTTTCCAATTCATTCTTCATGCTTGGGAAATTTTCTGATATTATTTCATTGAAGAGATTGTGCATTCTTATGGTTTGAAACTGTGCCTTCCTCTTTCCCAATAACTCTTAGATTTGGTCTTTTGATGCTGTCCCATAATTCTTAGATCTTCTGTTCATGGTTTCTTACTATCTTCACCATGTGGTCAACTTTATTTTCCAGATTGTATACATTGTTCTTCATTATGTGACATTCTTTCTTCAAAGTGATCTAGTCTTTTGGTTATGCTTTCTATTGAGTTTTTTATTTGGTTTATTATTTCCTTCATTTCAAGGACTTCTGACTTTTTTTTCCAGAGTCTGTCTCTCTCTCTTTCTTGAAGTAATCTTTAACTACTTGTATTTGCTTCTCTTATCGTTGGAGTGATCAATTTTTGCTTGTATTTGCTCATTTAGGTCATTCTTTAATTCACAGATCATTTTAATTATGAGCCTTCTGAACTCCTTCTCTGACATTTCATCAACTTCTCTGTCCATGGGTTCTGTTATTGTAGTATCTTGGTTTGTTTGGGCACTTTCCTTCCTTGTTTTTTAATGTTGTCTATGTGTCTTCCTTTCTTTCAGTGTGGATCTGAGATATTACAGTTTTTACCCTATGTTCTTGTAGTACCTGTGCAGACTGTCTGTACCTCACCTTGATGGTGGACTTCCAGACTCTGTTGGTGTCCCTCAGTGTATGCTACTGCAACTAAAGGTGGTGGCAGCAATAGCCAAGGGAACTTGAGATAATAGTGGAGGTGACCCAAGATGGATACAATATCTTACAGAAGTAGAGCTAAAAGGGTGGGCCTTACATGGTCTTTGGGATGCCTGCTCTGAGATGCAGCTGCTTCTAGACCCTGTTGTCGAAAGGTAGGGGTTACTGTGTGGGGAAGGCTATGGCGATGTCTGCAGTGTCCCAAGATGGAAGTCAGTTAAGATGAGGCTCCCAGGTGGGGTGAGTAGTGAACTCAGACCTACCCTGGTCCTGGGTCCCACTATGTCAGTGTGGGTGGATCTGGGCGGGGCCTGAGCTCCTGCCTCTTTATTTTTTCTTTTCCTAGCAAATACTAAGTAGTGGAATTTAAGGGATGACTCTTTTGTTTTAAAAAATTTACATAAGTTTTAAATATCATCAATTGATGATTTGGATTAGAAGATTGAGAAATTGGGGGGGGTCTTTCACTGACACTGATTTAGTGAGATCTATTTGATCAAACTTCAGCCAAAACAAAGGGAGGATCCAAAAAAGAATTTCACAGCATGAACTACTCTGGCAATGGGATGGATATGTGGGTGAAATGCCACAATGATGGTTGACAGAGTTAGGGACCATCCAAAAGACACTAAGCTCTGGGGGGTAAAATGAGCAATGAAAAAGTGAAAGCAGTTTTCTCCAGGTCTGTTTTTTCTTTCTTTCTCCTCCCTTCCTCTATCACCTGAATGTGAAATTTTGAAGCCATTGGGGAGATAAGTAAACATTTCTGGTTCTATGATGAGGTCTACCACAAATGGTGGTTTTTCTAGGAAATATTTCAGAATGAAAGGTTCACTAAAACAAAAGATATGTACAGGATGTTCTTATCTTCATGGTTTCTATGCATGGGCAGCACATAGTAAAGCTGCTGGGCAGCAAACTCACCAGTTTGGGAATAACTTTGGAGAACATGACATCCTCACTGAGCACTCTTATGAAACACATGCTTCTAATATCTTAAAGCTGAGAGAGGACACCAATGCACTAGGGATGGCAGTTAGTTCTTACCTACATCACTAAGTTCTAACACCTGGTGCTGTGCTAAGCTATCTTGCTTCATAGTGAAGAAGCTGAAAGACTACATTTAAGAGTCAAGTCTTCAAAGAATGGTTCATTCCATATCTTAACAAGTCACTGAAAGTCTAGGAGAGCCTCCATCCTTGGGACCAATAGAGCATATGGGTATTACAGGTACTGCCTCCACATTTAAAASTAGGATCCACAAGGAAAGTTCTACTTGAATGAAAGAGAAGGTGCCATCTGTTACACCTACATTTTTATTGTAAAGAACTGAACAACCATGAAGCCAAATTTTCTCAGCGTTTCCACAGGAATAGCAGTTGAGGAATGAAAGCAGCCAGAAAATAGGAGCTTGTCACTCAAGGGAGAAAATGTGCTACTATGTGGGAAACTTAAGGTGCCTGTATATATCATCCCCTTATATTCTCWCTTCAGCCAAGAGTAATACTTTTCTGGATGAAGGTGCACCCATGCAGTCTCTATGATATTACCTTTATTATTGTGTACTGTTTGTCCACTAAGAAACCATTTGGGATGACAATAGAAGACAAGTGAACCAAACTAATTAACCAGAAACATRGAACTATTTCTTGATCATCCCTTCATGCTACCCTCCCATCCCTATTCTACTGCCTAAAGAGCAATGTCTCTATAATCCTACTGTGAGATAGCTTTTAGAATTTCTGTATGCTATGTTTACCTTCTTGATATCTTTAGTTAGCTGAAGAGAAAAGCAGTAGTATTTCTTACCCATACTTACATCAAAAGTATAGCTGTTCTATTAATTTTGTTAGTCTGTTAATTTTTAATTCTGAGATTCACAGATTAACCTACCTAAACCAGAGTCCACATTTGTTTAGTCTATCTGCTAAACTGAATTGGTGAATAAATCCTCAGTTAACAAATTCAACTCAAAAGCTACCAGGTACATTCCACCTTAAAAATTCACTGACTTTAATCACCATTCTTAAACATAGCAAGCCTGCACACTCCCAATACTCTGAAATTCAGTTCCTTGTATAGAAAACACAAATACAAAGACAATAATAACCTAATTACCCAGGAAACCAAGCTCATGGGGAAGGGAAGGGTAGTTAATGTTCTTACACTTGTCTATATATGCTGCTGATGGTAAGCAAGTCCCCAACCTGTTTAACATGGTGAGCTGAGAGTGCCATCAGGGAAGCAGCCAGATTAGACAATAAAATATTCCTGAACAAAGGCACTTCATTCTCTGCCTCTCCAAATGCTGACTGTTGCTATTCTTAAATTTTGCTTTCTGTTTTGGATATCTCTTTCATAGCAGATCCAATGATTTTTACAATTCCTATGTCTTACTCCTAATTTCTCCCTAATATCATGTTATCTATTAACCTCACAAATGTGACAGTATAAAAGTGGTTGATAACTCACAGAATCTTACCTTTTCTCTATGATCATTCAAAAATGTTTTGAATGATCATAGAGAAAAGGTAAGATAGTAAGAATTATTTATTTTCCACACTGGCTTTGCCTTGCCATTCTTGAATATAGTAAGAATTATTTATTTCCCACACTGGCTTTGCCTCACCATTCTTTTAGATATGTACCCTTTGTCCTTGGAATTTGATCATTAAATCTCCTTTTGCTTATAATTATCTTCTCAAATTTTCATTCTAAAAAATGCCTTTTCATTGCTCCTCTGTCATCTCAATCTCATGCTGTCATGTTCATATGAGATAGACATTTAAAAATAAAAACATAAAGCACAACTTTCTTCTAAGCAATTATACGCCACCATGTCAGTGTCTGAGATATGGAGAAGACCACTATTGTTGAAAATTCATCTATCCATACCTAGAGACTCTTGGAACAGAAAATATAGTCAGAGATATCTAATTGATTCCTGTCTTCCAGACTGGACTATAAGTAACCATAAGGGGTTTTTTGTTTGTTTGTTTTTTAATGGTAGATTAACTTTTTAACAAAGATTTTCCAGTTTTACGAGTATACTTTATCTGAAATGCCTGGAACCCAATGTGTTTCAGATTTCAGAGTATTYTGGATTTGGGGGATATTTACATAGACTTTTTTAGTTGAGCATACCTACTCCAAAAATGTTAAACTCAAAATTCCCCCAAATCTGAAAATCCTTGAGTATTGTGTTGTATCAGTGTTCCAGTGGATTTTGGAGTTTTTGGGGGGTTTGGGATTTTTGAATTAGGGATGCTCAACCTATATACCTACGAAGAAAAATGTTTCACTAAAATTAAGCCTTCACTGCTCTCAGATGCAATTTTCTTCATCTCCATTATATTCCCCCTAAAGATGGGCATACTGATGGGTCTGAGTCATAGTTTGTACATACTGTCCTAGGTATTCATGTACATCRTCTTGCCAAACGATTTGCCAAGATGTTTTTCCTTTTTTCCCCAACAATATTTAGAATTATCTAAAATGCCATTCCCCAAGTTTTATTTTTTTAAAAAATAAAAACACTGAGTTAATAAAAACAAAGCTTCAGTGTGATTATTTATACATAAAACATTAATGTGATTTAGAAGGAAACCATCTGATAGCATCAATCTTAAATATGAATGTATTTAGCAATTATAGAGTAACTTATAATAAACATTATTAAAACTATCACTTATGGCACTTACCTTTAAGCTGATGAAATTGTTTAACCAGATCTTTTATATCCAGAGAATTATTCCCTGAAGGAATAAATACAGGAAATCAAATACAGGTACATAAACTTCCCAATTTAAAATGCTTCTTAAAAGCAACAAATATATGATCTAAAGCAATAACAAACCTTCTCTAAATACAATAAGTTCTTTAAAATAAATCGCTGCAAACTGGGTGATGTTTGATGGTTTGGTTTTGAGAACAGCTCTGCTAACTCCCTCGAGTAGAGTCTTGAGGCCATAGGGTACGACAAGTCTGGGCTTTGAAGAAAGCATTCTGGCAGGATGTCTGTAATCTCAACTATAATAAAGAAAAACAAATAGTCTTATAACACAGGAATTTTTATTAATCTCAACTATAATGTAGAAAAACAAAGTCTTAAACACAGTTTATTATAATATTTCTTATGAGTTAACCATAGTTTCTGAGAACAAATCTTCTATTGAAATTAAAGTTTAGTTCTAATCTCCAGGTATTTATTCTAGTAAAATGGGCTAATTCTTGATATAAAAAAATACCTAAAACCCTACTAATAAGGTGAGCAACCCAGTACTATTAAATCCAGTACTCACAGGATGATATTAAAAACAACAAAAAAACAAACCAAGCAAACAAAACCTGCTTCTGCGAAACCCAGCAAATATTTTGGGAATTAACATTTAAATTTATGAAGTTACATTTCAAGAAAGATAAATTAAACATCTGTGTCTATTCCAAACATGCACAAAAACACTGACTTTGTTGGACAAAACTGTTTCTACAAGAAAATGACTTGCTCACTTTTGTAAATATATCATCAAATTGCTCATATTTTTCCTTTAATTTTTTTACTATTAATCAGAGTAGGTAAAAATGTTCTGAGGTGCTGTGCCATCCACTATTATATGCACCTCCCCCTCCATATGCTCCTTTTATTCTCCTAATTTCTTCCTATCTTCCCCCTTCTCCTGATTTTCTGAGGRTATTGCATAGTCTAACCTGTAATTCTCAGAAGCGCAGAGATTGTCAATCTCCTGATTTTCTGAGGGTATTGCATAGTCTAACCTGTAATTTCCAGAAGCGCAGAGATTGTCAATCTCCTGATTTTCTGAGGGTATTGCATAGTCTAACCTGTAATTCTCAGAAGCGCAGAGATTGTCAGTGTGTAGGTTCTGTCTCATTCTAAAATACTGTTCATGAAGGCTAACAAATACATAAGAAAATTAAATTCATTCAGTGGTAAGGGGAAAACCGAGGTAGGAAAAACAAAGTGAAAATACTGCACAAGGTTAGCATTCCAATGCAAGCCATTTGGTCCTTCATTTTTTGACAGAAATATATAAAATCGGTTTTTGGGCTTCCAAACAGCCATCACCAAATAGAAAACAAGTGGTTAAATGATTCCACTGTCCTGAAGTCAAAAAACAAATCTGTTGCTAGGGAGAATCACAGTTGTTCTGGACAGAAACCTAAGAAAAATTTCTCCCCTGGRTCCTTATAAAAAGCAGAATAGTATGACATAATGTCCTTAACTGCACAGTACAGAGTAATAAGTTTCATGGGGTTAAATGGCACAGTTTAGTTATGGCAATTATACAAGGGGATAACTTTTAATAAAAAGCAACTAATGTGTCATAGCAAAACGCTGAATATTTAAAAGCAACATTTCATCTCCCCAAAAGTCAGGACAAAACCATTCTATCTGCCTAAGCAAACCCTTTGAGAAGGAGATATATATATATGAAAACATACTATCAGAATATCATTCATTGGGAGCTTTACTAAATTAAACCATCTTTGAAAAAACTGCCACGTTTGGGAACRACCTACAAGGCAGTTCTGTACAAACTGTCCTGAGGAAGTTAATAACGGTGGCGCCAGCATGGCCACACCAACGGGTAAAATAGATACAGAGGAATGTTTATATTTCTACTCAAATGTCTTTCAAAAATAATTGTCAAGAAAACGAGGGCACTCTGCCTGGGGACGCGTGTGGGGACCTCAGAAGTACAGAAAACGTACAAGGCACACACACACACTCCCTCTAAGACCTCAGCTGGGACCCAGCTTGTTTTGCAGTTGGGGTGGTGTTCGAGGGGGGTGGGGGAGGGGAGTCGGCAGTGAATCGTGGGAGACCCGGCCTGCCGACTTCTCAGCCGGCGACTTGTTAAGGTAGGCGGCCGCCCAGCCGACACCCGCAGCTCGGCCACACACGGGTAGCCGTTCCGCCGCCGCCCACGCAGGTGTGGGCGAGGACCTCCCACTCTGGGAACCCTCGGCCTTCCCAGACACTACAGGGCAGGTCCAACTCCGCCATCACWCGAGATTCCCAGAACGCCTAACTGCCTCCGGGGCACAAACTCGCCCCACCTTCCTCTTTCCGGCTAAGCTCGGGCGAGCTTCCTCGTTGCCCCCTCGCCGGCGGCTCCTGTGAAAAACCGACCTGGGCGGGGCTTTTATAACCCTGGAGACGTCAATGCGTGCGTCACAAAGCCCCACCCCCTCGCGGGAAGCTCGAGMGCCACGAAGGAGGCGGGATCGCGGCGTCCTCAACCAATGGGGAGCCCAAAGGGACAAAGGCCGGAAYTCGGAGGGCGAGAGGGGCGTGCTTCTCCTTTCCTGCCAGGACTTCGAGGCGCCATGAAACTGGCRGTTCCAAACGGCCTATAGGAGGTCGATGCGACTGGTCTATTTCGGTTGATCCGAGATGAGAGCTGCTTTGGAAGGCAGTTCTATCTTGTCATCACTGACTCTTCTTTCCCAGCACGACTCCATGCCCCTTTATTACTCTCTTGGGTCACCTTTAATAAAATTTCTGCTACGGTGTACACAACAAATACTGTAAGTGAATAATTATATCCAACAGCACTTCTTCACTTGACAAAATCCCATTAATTCTGAAACTTCTTGTTTCTCCATTATTAGGATTACGCAAATCTGTTCCCTCAAAATCACTGTGATCAACAGGATGCGAGTTAAAGACAAACTGAGGCTCAGTTTTACCAAGTTAAAGAAATGTTGCCTCGTTTTAAAAGGCCCGCTCTTTTCAAGGGCTCACAGATTSGTGCTGGGCGTTAAATAACTATACAATGATTTTGAATCCAAACAGCTTTCAGTGTAATCCATCTTCAAATGTGCAAAAAGCAACAAGAACCACTGTAAACCAGCTATCAAATAGCATCATTGGGTACATAGATCTGATCAGATTTTTTTTTTTTTTAATTCAGGAAAAAAATGCTTCTAGAGAGCTTTGCAATCAAAGTCAAYATCAGGCCTCCATTACATCCAAGCTACAAACAGCATTTTTGGGGGCAATTCATTCACTCAACGATTATTACTAAGTATCCATTAGTTGCTAGATAAGCTTTCTCTTACTGTGAAGATTACTATTTAAAGGGGAGAAAAGTTCTTTGGGGTAGGTTTTCAGGTGTTACATTTTCCATACTTCATCATTTGCTTCCAACCCCACTGTAGAAAGTGTAAATAAAAGATGAGCTGTCATGATTTTTGAAGTTTTTACTTATAATACTRTAACTGTCAATGTGCTATGAACTGTGCTACTGAAAACCCTAAGTATAGACATTGGAGACCCTATTTGTGGCATTTTGAATTAGGAATGTTAATGGTTGTGTAGCCTAAYCTTGGTTGGCCATCTTGTACACATATTAAGTGTCAGGTACTATGCAGAAATACCTGCCACTCAGAAGGGAGACCTTTGCTCTTTAATTTCTCCAAGGACTATTTTGGGTCACTCTGAAATGCAAATTGTTACAATGAAACATTTAAACAAGGGTTTTTAAACCATTGCCCATTTGCCACTTTGATTTCTTGAACTCCTAAGGATTATAATGTGGTTTTACAATCTTTAGTCCTTGCATTTGTCTACTTGCATTGSTCATTAGACAATCCACCTTGTTTTCCTGTTCTCCTCTTCACATCCCAAATCCTTACCTTACAGAAGTTCAAAAAGTTCTTGATATAGTCTGTTTACTTCTTCCATCTTCCTCTTAACCATCCTGTTCCCACTTGAGACCCCAGATTCTTGAACACRCATGCTATTGTCACCTCTGAGTTTTTAGCTTATCAGGTCCAAGACCTAGTTGGCCCCTCCAGGCATCATTTTTATCTTTGAAACTAAGTTCAGAAATCTACTTTAGAAAACCAGTGGATTAGAAGCATTTCCTTAGTGACCCCATAATAATATATTGTGACTGAGCTCAACCTAGCTATATAATTCTGTTCATTTTACACTTTTCTATCAGGTAAACTAAATACATAATAAAAGATGATGGCCTAGGGCATTATTTCTCTAATTCAGACCACCTGCATTGGAATCATCTTGGGACTTTATTAAAAACACCTTTCCAAGCCTACCTAGAATCTACTGAGCCAGAACTTTGGTGAAAAGGGCTAATCATTAAAACATAAAAATGGGAACCTCTGGCCTGTGGGAGAAGCAATTGTTATCCACAGGCTACCTGGGTTACAAGTATTATAACCAAGTCAACAAGGAGAGCTCTCAACCCCCTGCTAGTGTTCATTAGAAAGGCAGGTCTACTCTGTGTTCTTGACAACTGTGCACACTAATGAGGGGCCACAACTACTATGTCCCAACTTTACATTCTCTKGTTCCTGTTTTCCTTTTCTCTTCCTCTTCCTAGCTTCTAAGTCATCAACCTCTATTATATGTTTTCTTATGATCAACTGGGTGTAACACTTTTTTTTTCCCCTACAAAACATACCACTCACAGAAACTAAAACAGTTTATCACGATGGCAATAAGTTTTATCTTCATATGTATAAAGCCATGTTTGAATGCTTGTCACATTTGAATACTTGATTTGTTTAAGGAAGAAATCCATTTAAAAAGTTTATACAGAAAAGAAAATGTGTGTATGTGTATAGTGAGTGTGTGTGTGTGTGTGTGTGCACGTGTGTTTAAAATTGGATGTGCACTGTCCTTTTAGTTGGCAGAAATATAAAAGTACAAATTCAGTAAACTGATTTAAAGAATACATAACAATAGTCTATTTTTCTGTAACACCTGAAAGTTAAAATTCTTAACTCARTAGAAGACTTAGTTATCGTGCACTAAAATTAAAAAAAAATAAGATACCTAACTCAATAAAGGTAAAATCTTAAATATATTAACCAGCAAGGTACATGTTACATCATTATTACTAGACCATGCCTCCAAGTCCATCAAATTATAAAAATGTGTTCAGCATACATAAAATATACATTAGGGATTTCTCTTATCATAGGCACAATCTAATACAAAAATAGATTTGACATTTATAAAGTAGAAGATCCATTTGAAAGCCTCCAAATTAGGAAAGGGGAAGGAGTGGTAACATAAAAGAGAAGCACACATAGATGAAAATAGCTCTACTTATATGATTATTGTCTTCATCAGCAAGGGGAAAAGAGCAGTTTATACTGAATCAAGTTACCAGGCAGATCACAGTCAGTTCACAGGTTGGATGGGGCACAGCATGTAGGCCAGATAACTGTAACAAATCACTCAATTCAAAGTGTACTCAGATTCCAGCCACCCTCATAGTACAGTGGACTCACACTGCGCTTTTATTATTTTGGTGTCCTTAGAATGTTCATCTACCCACTGTTTGTGCACCACATTAATACAAATGGGTTCTCTGAACTGAGGCTGGGAGAGACTATTTTTWAACAGACCTATGCTTTGACTACTAAAGAAAATCTCCTGAATGGTGTTGCACAGTTATCAAGTGTCAGCTGAACACAAATTTATTTGAATTCCTGGAATCTCTATGGGAAAATAAAAGTAACTTTTAAAGCCATGAGTGTRCACATAAGTTATTTTTAAAAAATTGAAAGCATAAGATTTTATGTAATTTTTGAATACAGAAGAATAGCTTGAATAACATTGGAACTGAAAATTCAAATAAGAATGAACGAGTCAAGAAGTTCATGATTCAGAAGGCTCCACAGTCAAAACATAAATGTTTGCTGTGTATACTATAGATTAAGAAGAGGAAAAAAAATGGCAACAGTCATACTTTAAAGATTCACAATGTTCTTCCTGTCAGTTATCAGACTCCCAATATTTTTAGATACTAATTTTTCTCTTCAGAAAAATTTTCTCTTCTTGTCTTCTGGATGTACTCACTCCCTGAATGTAGGAAAGCAATCTTTTCTCTCTTGCTGGTATWAAAAATCCATACAGGGTTTACATCAGGAAGTTAATGTAAATGAATACTTGGGAAACAGCACACTGATTTATTATTTAAAAATAATAGATCACAAAACTAAAAAAAAGTGATTCATAACAGAATGAGGAAACATAGGTTAGCCCAAGTCAGTAAAGAGAAACTTCTTTCAAAGTAATCATTTCTTCAACATAAGATTAAATTAGATTAAATTTGTCAATATTCTAGCTGTTCTCCTTTTATTTTATAAATATCAATGTATTAACATCATGTAAGATGGTGCTTYAGTCAACAGGATATGTAAATGAATGATACTGGGTATAAATTTTTAAAAAATTGAACCTAAAGATTGAACCTAATTAATTATGGCAAAAATTCTTGAAAGTGACTGAGGTATTTAGATTCTTCAAAACCCCAGGAGTTCAATACTGTTCATGGAGGCAAATTAAAATCAATAAAAATAAGCAATGAAGAATAAAAAAATAATTTGAATTCCTTTTATAACATCTAATAACCTGAGCGAATGGGGAAAATGATTAAATCCTGGTAATATACAGTCCAGCAAATACTTCACCATCAACTATTTTGAGGCAAAAAGAAAAACAAAACCCCCATATTTATTCAAGAATAACTTTTCAAGTAATTTTTAAAAGATTTCTAAAAGTTGATCATTAGGTAATTTTTACAAAGAAAGGGGAAAACTCCTAAAATATAGGTGTTATTTATTTAACCCATAGAGAAGGAAAGAAAAGGTCTACTTTGAAACATTTTGTAGACAATCTGGAGGTGAATATTTTTTATAACAAAGCTTCAACCAAAGAGCATTTTTTTAAAATAAGTAAACCATGGAATACTGGGTTATTAATATATGTGTGTATCTATATGTGTATATATATTTTATAGTAGAAGAATATTTAATTGGTGGCTAGGAAATCTGTTTTCTATTCATTGCTCCACTGATAACAGGGATAATTAATTGGAATAAGTAATAAGTTATTTATAAGTGATAAATTAATTGGATTAGCTGTTTTGTGCYTGAGTTTTAATGTGTGTGAAAGGAGATAAGAATATCTGTGCTATATTATTTATAGGCATATTTTGAGGCTAAAGTAAAATGCTAGAAAGCACTTTTATTTTTTCAAAACACAATATAAATGCTATATCTTGATACTGTTAATAATTTTACAGGTGCTGCTTCACGTCACCCATTCTGATAT